CCCAAACAGCACACACAGACTCAGGCCCTGGATCCCCTACCCCAGAACCCAGGCTGGACTTGAACCAGTGCGGGAGGAGTGAGAGACTCTGTATCCTGTTTTGTAGTATCCTCAGCCATCCAGCTTCCCCTGGCCTGGCAATGGATTGGAACTAGCACTCTGACCCATGAAGCCAGCTAGTCCCCTCATGAGCTGGGGCCAGGCCAGAGCCAGCACCCCTAGAGGTGAAAGGCCCCATTTTCCCCTTCTCTGATTCTACTGAGGTAGCCAGTCCTGCTAACTTGGGGTCAGACTGGTGCTGAGCCCGCGAGAGGGGAAAGGCCCCTTGTCCCATTCACTGATCCATCCAGGGTCTCCATCACAGACGCACTTTCATTTTACTTATACAGGATGAGCTCACGCACGTTAAACCACTAGTGACACACGGCAGGCCGTGCCATTAGGGACTAGAACATACTCCAGAGCAACTGCTTCATGGCAAGGAGATTCATTAATTCAGGCAAAGAGCTTTGAAGTAGAAGGTGAAGTTCATGTGCTAAGTGTTACTATTAGATCAGCGTCTCCAGACCCCTTCCTCCTGAGCTGGCCTTTCCGCACCCACTGCCCCATGGCCCTTCCCCGACTTTCTCCCTCTGCCTGTGGAGGGCACTTCTGTTTTGGATTTAAGTGTTTCTATGGTGCCTTATCACCAAGGTCTCTTTTCCCCGGGACCCCACGACCTTTCTCCCCTGTCTCTGCAGAACAAATGCTGGAGGTGGACAGATCACTCCCGCTTTTGCTACACTAATTGGAGAATTGGGGAACCAAACAACCAGGGTGGCAATGAGTACTGTGGTGAGCTGTGGAGACAAACAGGTAAGCAGATGCTCAAATGCACATGCACCAGCAAAGGAGCCAAGATGGAACCCTGGCCACACCCTCCACCTCTGTCTGTGGACATGGCCTCCTGTCCAGGCACCCTGCCTCTCTCCCTCAGCTCACACTGCCGCTCTCCAGAGATAATTCCCTGATCTCACCTGGTAACTCCTCCTCCACATGTCCCAGTTTGAGGCTCAGCTCCAGTCAGAGGCAGGT